ATAATTATAGAAAAAAATAAATAAAAAGGACTATATCCATGATCATACATAAAAAAAAAAAACGAAACCCATATACAAAGATTGTGCCCAGAACACCATTCTTTCCAAGTCAGGAATTGTTAGTGCAGGTGGCTAAGGCTGCACATCAGATAAGAAGGGAGGTCCAAGCAAGGAGCCTGTGGTATGGATAATGGGAGGAAAGAAAGCTTCTGACGAGAAGGCAGCCCATAAAGCCTGTGTTGAGAAAGAAGGTTGCAGCCACCAAGAAACCAGCAGCTGAGAAGAAGCCAGCAAGAAAGAAACCTGCTACAGAAGAAAAGTCTTGGGCATAGATGCTTAAAAATTTTTATTCCATTTTGGACAGCTTATTTTTAATAATAAAAATATAAGCTGTTGCAGAAGATTAAAGAGTACAGCCTTCAATGTGGATTCAATCTCAATGCCAAGAAAACAAAAATTTTAACCCCTGGACTGATAGGCAACATCAGGACAGATGGAGAAAAGATTGAAATTGTCAACAACTTCATCTTAGATCCACAATTAACACCCTTGGTTTCAGCAGTCAGGAAATAAGGAGACACATTGCACTGGGAAAGCCTGCAGTTACGGACCTTTCCAAATTATTGAGAAGTAATGATGTCAGTTTGAGGACTACGGTGCATCTGTCCCAGGGCATGGTCTTTCTGATCACTTGCTATGCATCTAGAGAGCTAGACAATGAATAAGGATGACAGAAGAATTGATGCCTTTGAGCTGTGGTGTTGGAGAAGAACATTGAACATCCCATGCACTGCCAAAAGAACAATCATATATGTTTTGGAGAAAGTGCAGCCAGAGTGCTCTTTTGAGGCAAAGATGATAAAGCTTTGTCTCACATACTCCAGGCATGTTGCTAGGAGGGGCTCTTTCTCAGACAGGGACGTCATGTTTGGAAAGGCAGGAGGGTGGTAAAGGAGAGGAAGACACCTTAACCAGATGGATTGACACAGTGACTTCTGCAGTGAGCTCTAGTGTGTTAGGAAGTGTGAGGATTGCACAGGATAGGACAGAGTTCAGATCTGTTGTTCATAGGGTAGCTATGGGTTATACATGACTCAACAGCACCTAACAACAGCAGCAACATTTTAAATATCAACAGCACCTAACAACAGCAGCAAATTTTAAATAAAGACCTTTTTTTAATCTTATTAACAGCATTTATCTTTCCTCAGTCAAACCCTGATCCAATCACTTTCCCCAGGCTGCCTGGGGAGTTAAAGGGAAAGAAACACATAGGGTAGGCAAGACATAGGGGCAGAAAACCAACAAATTATGGGAGGTAGAGATGGCTCCTTCACATGGTGAGGAGGATCAGAAAGACCACCATCTGGCAAAAGAGCCCCATGGTCTCTGAGAGGGCAAAGCCCAGAATGGCGTAGGAGAAGAGTTGCTGCTTCATAGAAGTATTCCTGTCATAACCAATGATGAAGCTCCCAAACACAGTCCCAATCTTAGCTCCGGAGCCAGCCACTCCAACCGTGGCAGCCCCAGTCCCAATGAACTTAGCTGCTGTGTCAATATCCGTTGAGATAGTTCTGATTTGGAAGCTGCAACTAGGGATGAATGAAATCAAGGAATGTGGGGCTGTCAAGCAGCTGAAGTTATCATCTGTCAGTGTTCCTGGTTGTTTCAGGACCACTGCAGACAATGGATGGGTCAGCAGCTGAGAGGCACTCCTGACCAGAGGAAAGGCGGAGACAAATTTGGTGCAGGTATACATTTTGAGGGGATGAGGGGATGAGGGGCTGTGGCAGGAAAGCTGCTCCTAGTGCAGAGAAGACAGAGCAAGACCTACATTTCTCTTTTAAAGAAATCAAAAGATGTGTTGCATTGGGAAAATCTGCTGTCAAGGACCTCTCCAAATTGATAAGAGTAACAATGTCAGTTTAATGACCGAGATGAACCTGATGCAAGCTATTGAATTTTCAATTGCTTCCTATGCATCTAAAAAGTTCAACAATGAATAATGAAGACTGAAGAAGAATTGATGCCTTTGGCATCAATTGCAGTGTTGATGATAAGTATTGAGTGTACCACGGACTGCCAAGAGAACAAACACATCTTTCTGGAGGAAGTACAACCAGTGTGTCCTTCCTTCCTTCCTTCCTCCCTCCCTCCCTCTCTCCCTCCCTCCCTCCCTCCTTCCCTCCCTCCCTCCCTTTCTCTCTCTCTCTCTCTCTCTCTCTCTCTGGCTTTAACAAACAGAAATTTAGTATCTTGCCATTTAGGGCCTAGAATTACAAGTACAGGGTGCTAGCTGTAGAGGAAGGCCAGTTCTGGTGAAGATGGGGAGAGTCAGCCCTTGTTTCCTTCTGTGTCTGGGGATCTGGGGTTCCCTGGAGACCTCCATGCATCTTGGCCTTCTCTGGTGTCAAAGAGCCTTGTTGTGCAGGGGCCCAGGTTCAAAGGCACTTCTGCTCCTGATGATTATTTCATGGTGATACTAAGGCCCCCCCCCCCAGTGTGTTCTTTAGAGGCAAGAATGGTGAAACATCATCCCATATACTTTAGACATTTTGTCAAGAGGGGCCAGTCCTTGGAAAAATATATCAATCTGGGAAAGTTAGAGATTCAGTGGAGGAGAGGAAGAACTTCAAGGAGGACTGATAGAGTGACTGTGAGACTGAGTTTGAACATGACAGGTAATGATCATGATGACAACACAGGGTGAGCACAAGTTCTGATATGTTGTTCGTAGGGTTATTATGAGTTGTAGTTTACTCAAAGGCACCTAACAATTGTGATAACTGATTTGGGAAAGAGTGGTTAGTGGATGTTAAAGCATAGGTTAAAGATTATTATGAGACATCGACACAATACATCTGATTACTTATTAGTTATTGCTGTATTGTGCTATTGTGTCCCTTGTGACTCATAGTGACCCTGTGAACAATAGCTCTGAACCCTGCGCTATCCTGAGACAACCTCTGACACACCTGCCCCCTTACCACGATCACTCTGTCAATCCATCTTAATCAGAGTCTTCTTGTCTTGTGCTGTCCCTCCATCCTTCCAAGCATGATGTCCTTCTCCAAGGATTAGACCAGCATGCCTGAAGTATGTGAGACAGAGTTTCAAAATCCTTGCTTCCAAGAGCAAACTGGTTTCACCTTCTCCAGGACAGACATGCTTGTTCTCTTGGCAGTCCATTCAATATTCAATACTCTTCTCTAGCACCACAACTCAAAGGTGTTGATTCTTCTTCTGTCATTCTTAGTCATTATCCAGCTTTCAGTTTAAGTTGCATAGCAAGCCATTGAGAAGACCACATGAAGACTTAATAGTTACAAAAGAAAAAACATGTCATTTTACAATAGAGAGATTTTAAAAAGAGTTGAATCTGATTATTTATCTAATGATGAGGAAATGATCATATAGCTATACATTATGTAACATTCTTCTTGTAATAGTTTTGGGTTTTTTAAAAAATACCAATATTTTGAAAGAAATGCCAGAACTAAGGAAGTTTGGAGGACTTCTAGAGTAAAGAATACTATAAAGAGAAGACAACTCAATTTTATGTCTGGTCTTTGAATTTTAGATATGTTAAAAAAATAGCAGTGGAGGATATTGAGACAACTGGGGAAATATGATTATGGACTGATTATAGTATTGCAACAATATTAGATTTCTCGAGTGTATTGTTGCATTCCAATTGTTTTAAATAGCACCTTTATATTATTTTCCTAGAGGAGACTCTCCACTAGGTGAATTGACACAGCAATTGCAGTAGTGGACTTGAGAGTGTCAGAGATTGTGAGACAGGCACAGGATAAGACAAGTTTCAGCTCTGTTGTTCAGGATAACACAAGGTTTAGCTCTGTTGTTCATAAGGTCACTATGAGCTGTCTTCAGTTCTATGGCATCTAACAACAACAACAACAACCACTATGGGAAATCTTTTTGGATTGCCAAGAGAACAAAGAGATATGTCATGGGAAAAGTGCAGCCAAAGTGCTCCTTGGAGGCAAGGATGGTGATGCTCCCTCTGACATACTTTGGACATTTTGTTAGGAGATGCTATTTCTTGGAAAGAAAAATCGTGCTTGGAAAGGAGGGTAAGCAAAAGAGAGGAAAACCCTCACTGGATTGACACAGTAACTGCAGCAGTGGGCTCAAATGTGTCACAGATGATGAGGCTGGCACAAGATAGGACAGAGTTCAGGTTTGTTGTTCACAGGGTTTTACTCGACTGAGAGGCACCAAACAACAACAATATGGGTCATAAAGATGGAAGGAATATACATGTTCACCGTACCAATAAGAATTGGTCATTATTCAACCATTTTAAGAGGTAGCATATGATCAAAACTCAAAGGTACTGAAAGAAGAAGTTCAAGCAGTACTTGAAACAAGATTCCAGGAATATATATAATACCAACTAAGACACTTCAACAAACAAATGCAACATCACAAGCACTCACTCAAGAAATTCCAAGTCAATCTACTGGAAGAGATCCATAACTGAGCACATTCCAAGGGAAAATAACCCAACAGAATGTTGAAATCATTGAACAATATAATTAAAACACAAAGCAAAATTTTTCTAAAGATAACCCAAAAGCGGTTGCAGAAGTTTATAATAAGACAAAGGATTTCTACAAATTAAAGATTCAAAAGAGAATGTAAGAAAAGGAATATCATTGCTGATGCCGGCTAGATATTGGCTGAAAACAAAGAGTACTAGAAAGAGATTTACTTGTATTTTACTGACTATGCAAAACCATTCAACTGTCTGGATGACAACACATTAACAGATGAGATTGCAATGACTGAGAACCCCAGAACACTTAATTGTGCTCATGCAGAACCTGGACATAGAGCAAAAAGCAATTATTTGAACAGAACAGTGGGGATACTGCATGATTCAAAGTCATGAAAAGTATGTGTCAGGTTCCTATCTTCTCATCATACATATTCAATCTGTATGCTAAGGAAATAATCCAAGAAACTAGATTATATGAAGAAGAATGTGACATCAAGAACTGGAAGAAAACTCGTTAACAATTTGTGATATGCAAACGACATAAACTTCCTTGCTGAAAGCAAAAAGAATGCGGAGTACTTATTTATAAAACTAGAAGACTATAGTCTTCAGTATGGATTACACCTCAACATAAAACATGAACCCTTACAACCTGACCAAAAGCAATATTTTATGATAATTGAATAAAAGATTGGTGTTGTTAAAGATTTGGTGTTACTGTGATTCATGGTCAATTCCTGTGAAAACCACAATCAGTAAATGAAATGACACATTGTATTTGGTAAATCTGTCGCAAAAGACCTCTTTAAAATGTCAGAACACAAAGATGTTGTACCTATGAAAGTTAGACAAGGAATGAGGAGGAGTGAAGAAGAATTGGTGTCTTTGAATTGTGCTGTTGGCAAAGAACATTGACTACATCATGGGAACTCTGGTAGCATATCTATAGCATGTTGCACTGTGAACCAGTGGAAGTTTGAATGCACCAGGAGCTCTACATGCAGGGAAAAGATGGTTGGGTCATCTCTTCCCACCACAAAGTATAGCCTCAGAAACTGGAGAGAGGGTTGTTTTGAGTGGAACAGATGCCAAGCCAGTGTGTATGTGTGTGTGTGTGTGTTATTGGGCTTCCAGAAAGATGAACAAATCTTTTTTGGATGAAGTTGAGCCATCATGCTGCCTACTTTGGCTAGACTTGAACTTGCATACTTTGGTCATGTTATTTATTCCCTGGAAAATGACGTTGTTGTTTTTGTTCTTATGTGCCGTCGAGTCGCTTGCGACTCATAGCGACCCTATGTACAACAGCCCTAAACTCCGCTCTGTCCTGTGCCAATCGCACCGTCTCTGACACTCCCATCCCAATTATCCCAGTCACTGAATCAATCCACCTCATAGAGGGCCTTCCCCTCCTGCACTGTCCCTCCACCCTCCCAAGCATGATGTCCCTCTCCAAGTACCGGTCTCTCCTCACAACATGTCCAAAGTATGTTAGAAGGAGCCTCAGAATCCTTGCCTCCAAGGAGCCACCCAGTTTAACCCTTTCCAGGACAAATCTGTTTGTTTTCCTAGCAGTCCATGGTATTCTCAATACTCTTCTCCAGCACTACAGCTCAAAGGCATCTATTCTCCTTCTATCCTCCTTGGTCATTGTCCAACTCTCTGATGCATAACAAGTGATTGCGAAGACCATAGCCTGTATCAGACGCACCTTAGTCTCCAGAGAGACACCATTGTTCTTAAGTACTTTGGAGAGGTCCCTAACAGCAGACTTTCCCATGGCAATGCACCTTTTAATTTCCTGGCTGCTGGTGCCAAGACTGTTAACTGTGGAGCCAAGCAAACTAAAGCTATGAACAATCTCAATCTCTTCACCATCCATCCTGACACTGCCAATTGGTCCAGTGGTGAGAATCTTTGTCTTCTTGACAGTGAGCCTCAATCCATATTGTAGGCTGCAGTCCTTGACACTCTGCAGCAGGCGCTTCAGGTCCTCTTCAGTTTCAGTAAGCAGGGTTGTGTCATCCGCATAACGCAGGTTGTTGATCAATTGTCCACCAATCTTGACCCCACATTTCTCCTTATAGAGCCCAGCCTCCCGGATAATCTGTTCTGCATACAGATTGAAAAGGTATGGAGATAGGATGCATCCCTGGCATATGCCCTTCCCAATTTTGAACCATGCAGTGTTCCCTTGCTCTGTTCTGATGACTGCCTCCTGGTCCAAGTATAAGTTTCGCATTAGAACGATCAAGTGTTCTGGGATTCCCATTCTTCTCAGAGTCAGCCATAGTTTGTTATGAAAATGACGTTATGCTTGGTAAAGTGGAAGGTCAACAAAAATGAGGATGGTGGAAGTATATAGAGGTGGTTCTGAAGAAGGCACAGGATTGGCCAGGGATTTATACTGTTGTACATGGAGTCCTCATGAGTAGGCACTGATTTAACAGCATCTGGGCTCAATGAGGAGAAATGTGGCATCAGGATTGGAGGAAGAATCATCAACCCTGCTTGCTGAAACTGAGGAGGACCTGAAACACTTGCTGTAGAAGGTAAGGGACTGCAGTCTTCAGTGTGGACTGAGACTCAATATCAAGGAAACAAAGATTCTCACCACTGGGCTGATTGGCAGCATCATAATGGATGGTGAAGAGATTGAGATTGTTCACAGTTTTGGTTTGCTTGGATCCACAGTCAACACTCTTGGCACCAGCAGCCAGCAGCAATGGGGAAGTCTGTGGTTAGAGACCTCTCTAAAGTACTGAAGAGAAAACTATGTCAGTCTGGAGACTAAGGTACTCCTGATACATGCCATGGTCTTTGCAATCACTTTCTATGCATCAGAGAGCTGGACAATGATTAGAGATGATAGAAGGAGAATTGATGCCTTTGAGCTGTGGTGTTGGAGAAGAGTATTGAATATACCATGGACTGTTAGGAAAACAAACAGGTTTGTCCTGGAAAGAGTGAAGCTGGGCTGCTCCTTGGAGGCAAGGATTCTGAAGCTTTGTCTCACGTAATTTGGACATGTTGCAAGGAGGAACCAGTCCTTGCAGAGGGACATCATGCTTGGGAGTGTGGAGGGACAGCGCAGGAGAGGAAGACCCTCGATGAGTTGGATTGATTCAGTGACTTGGGTAATGAGGGTAGGTGTGTCAGAGATGGTGAGATAGGCACAGGATAGGGTGGAGTTTAGGGCTGTTGTACATAGGGTTGCTGTGAGTCACAGGTGACTCAATGGCACATAACAACAACAAGAAGGAGACAGAAGCAGGTAGAAAGAAGTCAGCTTACCCATACAGAATATTTGATAGCTTCAGACCACTTAATACATGGAAGAGTACTTGAACTCTACCCTAGCAGAGCAGGGGTAGAGACAGCTCTGCAGACAAACAAATCAGTTTGATTCCAAGTGTTACATTTGAATGTCTTTTTTACTCCCCCCCCTTTCTTTCTATTATTATACTAATTTATTTACAAAATTTGAATACACTGTTTCCCAGAACAGATTCTCCCAATTTCCCCTCCCCTTCCCATAAAATTGTACAACCCCATCTCTTTTGTGTTACCAGATGGATCAGAACTGCATCAACAGTTGTATCAGCAGGGCTTTGTCTCCTGGAAGTGCCCTTTGGGCCTAACATGCCTTCTTGGACAGAAGAAGGCAAAGTGTAAAGGATTATATTTGCTGTGTCTTTACCCTATCCTTGGTTTAGAGGGTCCCCACAACCTAAGACTCTAGAGAAAAGCTAACTTTCATTATGGTCCTTTCAGCAAGGGCTCAGAGTCTCTGTTCCCAGTTTTTATCCCTTCTCCCAGAATGGCTTCCTAGGAGAAAGAGAGAGTGAAGCATTTGAGTATCCACTTAAGAATGGAGAGTCTAGAATCCAGGCCCAGACTCTTCATTACAGACTTGCTCACCTCTCTACAGCTCAGTCAGTGGAAGTGAGAGCTGTGTGTGTGTGGGGGGGTCTTGAGAAACCTATGTTCAGTATTGAATCCTCTCAGCTGGAAAAGCCCTTACATCTATGAGAAAGAGACACCCAGCTGGTGTTGACTCACCCATGGCCTCAGTGTCCGTTCCTACTAAAGCAGAGAGCATTTCCTGTGCCTTTATTTCACAAGTCACTTCTCTTGCTCACACTCTGGGCTCCAGAACTGAGACGGCTGCTTCTCCTCTTAGATACCAGACAGCTAGTTCTGGTTTCTATTGGCCAGGACCATGGCCAAGACCCTTAGTGACCATCTCCTGCACTCCTTGGAGGATTTAGCACCCTATGACTTTGAGAAGTTTAAGTTCAAGCTGCAAAACACCAGCCTGGAGAAGGATCATCCCCGAATCCCCAGGGGCCTAGTGCAGCTGGCTAGGCCAGTGAAACTGGCCTCTCTGATGGTCAATCATTACGGGGAGGAAGATGCCATTCGGCTGACCCTGCAGGTCCTTCGGGGCATCAACCAGCGTCTGTTGGCGGAGGAGCTCCTCAAGGCTACTGGTCAGGGTAAGGGGTCATCAAGCCCCTCATTTCCCCATCCTGTCTACTGCTTTTTGGTGGGGATGAGGTAGAAGGTGATAGAGGGAAGGTATGCACAGATAAATACATTCTGACTTGGGTTTAGAAATCCCAAGTCTATTGGGTGTTGAATTAGTAAAGATTGTTAAAGTTCTCATACAACTTTAAAAACAGAAACCAAAAGAGACAAGCATTCTACTGTCTGGATCAGGAGAGACAGGAGTTAGAGACCCTTATATTAGAGAACTCTTCACTCTGTGATTGACCCTTTGTCTCTGTCTTAGCAAAGAGGGTTTCATGTTAGCAAGCATAGATCTGTAGTCTCATTGTTATTCACCTCATTTCAGTCTGAGTTCCTCTTTAACACCCTTTGTTGTGTTCTCCAGCGCCATTGAGTTTGATTTTAACTCATGGTGACTCCTGTAACAGGGTAGAACTACTTCATAGGATTATTTTAAGGTTCAAAGCCTTTTTTTAAAAAATATTTTTTGTAGGCTTAATGTGAGGTCAGTTTAAAAAAAATTCTTCCATGTTTGCATTTTTCTTCTATTTCTAAACTTTGAGGATACATTGGAAACATAGAATAATTTTTAAAAATATTGATTCTTTATTCTGTGACAGAGTGATAGAACTAAATTGCAAAGTGTCTGGTTCTTATATAATCTTATGAGTAGAATTTCAAAATTACCTTTTAGTTTTAAATCTTATTACTAGTATCTTTCTTGCTTCTTACCAGTTACTGAACCAGTTTTTGGTAGCTTAACAAATGTTTTTTTTCCTAGATAGCCAATATCAAATGGTTTTAAACAGCCTTAAAGAATTTTAGTAAGAACCTTAACAAACCAAAAGGTTAGGCACTTATTAGGAATTCTTTTCATTTTCTTGCTGGAATCAGCTGGGTATTTCAGGGGTTCTTTAGCAAATATTTGAGTCCTATTTTATTAGATTTCTTTACTTACAAAACTATTACCAAATTCATACTGAAGTGTGTCATGAACCAAATTTTTTAAAATATTTGTTTAAGATGGGGAGAAATCAATAGTTACACCTTGGATTGCTGCTTGAAAGTTTTTTAAGATTCTGTTGCTCACCAAAGTAGGATGTAGAACATTGTCTTGTGGACTGTATTATGCCAACTGATAGTTTCATGAAGCCAGAGGTCCAACAACTCATTCCATCATGGTATTTGGTTATGACTAAGATGTCTAGGTAACTTTGCTGCCTGTTGATGCTATCATATATGTAGATAAAGTTACAATATATACAAATGTGCATGGAGAGCTATCACATGTCAAACTTTTCGCCTGTCCATATCTGTTTATTTTACCTGTCTGCCTGAGTATTTATTCATTGAGTAGTGCTTGTTATTGCTGATAGAGCAGGATTATGTGTGCAGTAATGTTTAACTTTGATGTCTATGCCTCTTGGGCACTTTTCTAGTCTTCCCTTTCTCTGGTGATATTGTGTTGATCACTCCAATTTTTTTTAAATTATTATTAATCTCCATGAAAATTTACAGAGACTTCGGATTTCCATTCATTCATTGTTACACTTTTCTCCCCTCCCAACCCTCCACCCTGGTACACTACCCTCTTGGAAAAGTAAAAGAAAAATTCTTTCATTGTTTTACAATCCCTCCTCCCAGGTCTACTCCATTATACAGCCTTCACTTTGCACTCCTGTCATGACAAAAAATACCTACTAACATATCCCTCTTAAACAGTTTTCTCCCTCATCTGTTTCAATGCAGTATACATTATTAAACCCATCTTTCTCAGTATCCCCCCAACCCTGAGGTCAGTCCTGTTTTACAACAGTGGCACCATGCAGTATTTGTCCTTTTGTGACTGAGATGATCACTCCAATTTTTTAAACATTGGAGGCCACCAGTGTGTTAGCCTGTCCTGTGCATGTTCCGATTTTTGTGTAGACCTTATAATGAAACCATTCTTGTCATTTCTGATTGTTTAAACAGCGTCCTGAGGTTTCCAGGCAAGCTAGGTTTTATGTTTTGGTGTTTGTTTGTTTGTTTGTTTTAACACAGCCGATCATTTAAATTTGCTGACCTGCATAAATTAAGATTGTCTTTAAATCACACAATCAAAGCAAAATACAGAAATGCCCAAGTTTCTGAGGTTGTATGTGTTCTTCATGGCCCCTAGTTTCAAATTTTGGGGCAGCTTGGATGTTTGCAATCTTCTTTACTGGTTGATTCTAAATAAGTGAATCTTGTACATTTATAATTTTAAACAAGGAGTTCTGATGTAAATTTTTTTTCACAAACAAATGGAAAGGTTTATTAAGATGATAAGATAGAGACATAGCTGGTGAAATATAGGCCATGCAAAGAAGTTAATGTAAAAAATAAAGAAGGAAAAGGGGTAAAGGACCCCCGGAAAGACAGAGTAGTCCCAAGCTACCAGTTACTCTAGGGGAGAAAAGTACTGGCCTTGTGCTCCTGTAAAGATTACACCTCCATGGAGCTCTCTGGGGAAGTTCTGCTCTGTCACAAGGGGTTGCTACAAGACAGAACCAACTCTACAACACACAACACCAATAACATAATTGTAAATAATTTTTTTACTGTGAGGTAGGGTTTTTATTTCTAGACTGAGATTCTCTGTAAGACTTCATTTGATATAAGTTTTCTTGCTTACTAAATATGAAAAGAAAAGTAATATTTGAGAAACACAGAAAAAAATCACTAATGTGTTTCTACTTAACGATGGGAGTACTGGTGGCGTAACCCTCACGGGGCTGTGTGGCTGGTCCAAAGGCTTCTAGAGGAAAAGATGAGCAATCTTCTCCTGTGTGATTTACAGTTGCACTAACCAACAGAGGGTCAGTCATGAGTTGGTTCCAACTCCATTGCAATGAGTTGTTTTACTTAACAGTAATCAACTGCTGTTGTTCTAGAATGTTCTTAACTTTCACTTCTCTCAGTCTGAGGAAATTCCGTCTTTTGGCCCTTTCCCAACTCTTTGTCCTAAAAATGGGGTTTTCATGCTTTTGTATTTTGCTTGTCTTTCAGACTATCCTATACAAGAAGTTGGGGCTGATAGTTCCCCCATGTCTTGTTCTGATGAGAGTAAACCCAAGGGCCTGAAGATACCAGATGGTCCAGAAGGTGATGAGCAGTCTCAAAGTGGTGAGGGAATAGCCAGCCTGCACTCTGTCCAGGCTGAGGCTGGAAAGGGGCCCCAGAAGAAACTCCAAGACAGGCGGAGAGATCAGAGCCTGGATGGGCAGGGCAAGCCAGGAAGCAGGAACATGACACCACTTTCCAAGAGAGGACCATCCCTGTCTTTGAACAGACTGTCTGGAGAGAAGAGCTGTGGCTCCAGTCCCAGGCTCCGCAGAAATGCCTGCTCCAGCAGCATGCTGCAGAATCTCTCCAGGCATTCCTTTTCTGGGACCCTGGGAAGGAGAGAACCCAAGAGAACAGAACCCAAGAAGAGACCCAAAAGTCTTGAATTTGCTGATTCTTCAGGAGGGGGAGGCCCCCTAAATCCAGAAACTCTGCTGACTCTAAAGGAAATAATAATTGTGACTCCAGACTCTGAAACCACCCCCAAGATGAAGACCATGCTAGGTGTTGAGACTTCAGTGGCTCCCGAGAAAGGTTCCAGGAATCCAGAACATTCTGTGATTCAGGAGGGAGGAATATTCAGAAATGCATTGACTGATATATCCTTAACTGGAGGAACAAAAATTCAGGAGCATCCAGTACCCTTGGAGGAAAAGAAAAATGGGGTTCCAGAGACCCCCCAAAAGCTCTGTGAATCTTCAAATCTAGAAGCTCTTTCAACATCAGAGAAGAGAAGATCCCAGAATTTGAGACATGTGGCATCCTTAGGTATGGAATCTGTAAAAATGTTCTTTCTCAAATTTCCTCTTGTCTCAGGATCTTCTCCCATAAGGATGACAGCTTAGGAAACATGATGAGCAGTCCCACCTTGTCACATGGTGTGGTGTGAGCCAGAATCAACTCAAAGGCTTGTAACACTAACCTCCTGACATGCCATATGAAGTTGTCGGTACATGAGCTTTTTATATTATTTCTACCTCTGGGACAGAGGTCCATGACCCATTTGATGATTTGCTAGTTGGTGGACCCCGAGGGGGATAATGGTATGTGTGCACATTGTCACAAAATATTGCATCAAATTTCAGTGAGTTTATGGTTGCTTTGAAATATATCTTTAGAATTTTAATGACTTTATAAACTGCCATAAGAATCTAAGAAAATCCCTTCTTACCATGACTCTAGAGAACCTCTTTCTGGGAGGGGCAGGGCAGAGCAGAGCAGGGACCATTTGGCTAAAATCTTGTTAGGTGCCAACAGATTGGTTTCAACTTATGTTGAACATCAGAATGAAAGGCTGTTCATTCCTGCTCCAGCCTTACAATTGCTGTTGTACCTGAGCCCATTATTGCCATCACTATGTCAATCCAGCTCATTGAGGGTCTTCTTTTTCACTGACTTTATCAAGCATAATGTTTTTCCCCAAAGACTCATCTTTCCTGATAACAATGCATGTGAGATGAAGTCTCTTCCTCTTTATTTCTAAGAAATATTCTGGTGCCATATATTTCAAAAGTATTTGTCCTTTTAACAGTCTATGATATATTCAATATTCTGAAATTGAAGGTTGAAATATAGGGTCTCTTTAATTGATGGAGTAGTACTTCGGATTACATGTGGTTGTATATGACAGAAATGTGAAGAAAGTACAGTGATTTCAAAAAGATGGATGAGTCCTCTTTCACAGAAGTGATACAAAAGTGGAGTCTGGGACAGACATGGCCCTCTAAGGATCAAGGACTCAGACGTCTGTGGTTTACTTAACTCCACTGAGATTGCTCCTGAGCTCATGGTCTCAGGTATTGGCATTATAATTTCAGAGATGAAAGGGAGTTAGTGGAGACAAAGTACATATGACAGCCCAGGGAAGTTTCTGGCCAGAATATGGTCTGAAGACCCCTCTTGGGCTGCAAAGTAGGTTGAGAATTTTGGGGAGGAGAGGGATAGTAGTCATGTGGACAGCCTTGATTTTATCAACCAGTAAGGAAGTTCGGTCATGATTGTTGAGGGGCACCATTAGTGTAGTTTCTTTAGATATGTGTTGGGAACTGTGGTTATAGATTGAGCGTTTTCTTAGTTACTGACAACTTAGTTACTGAGTGCTTCTGTAACAGAGATACCATAAATGTGTGACTTGAACAAACAGATATATTTTTTTATATACACAGTTTAGGAGATGGAAAGTCTGAACTTGGGGTGCCAGCTGTTCAGGAATCTCCTTGAGTTTCTGCTCCAAGCAATCTTCATGTGGCTTGGCATTGCTCGCCTTCCATCTTTCCTTGTTTCTCCTGTTGTTGTGCATTGTTGGGTTGGAACAGACTCATAGCTGACACTCCAGTGGGTTTTCAGAGGCAGTAAATGGCATGGGAAGAAACTGCCCATTTTTCTTCTACAGAGCAGCTAATAGATTCGAATCATGTGCCTTTAGGTTTGCAAGTTTTACCACTAGGCCACCAGAGCTAGTTATTTAATCTATTTCTCAAGGAGTGCTGACTCCAGATACACCCTACTCCAATCTTGCCTCATTAGTGTTTAAAAGCAATTCATTCTCAAATGAGATTGTAGCCACAGGCAAAGTAAGATTTACAACACATCATTTTGAGAAGGCACTATTTAATCTACATCAAGGGATTTCCATCTAATACTTCTCTTGTCTCCCGTAATTTCTGCATTATGAAGTTGCCATTATGATCCTGGTCAGGGCTACTAACAACTCTTATGGTAAGATTCCATTCTTCCTTTTTACCAAATGCTCTTTGAACTTCAGTGTGAGCAGTGGTCCATTTTGTCTGAATGAAGATTCAACAAACATTGCCGAAATGCTTACTATGTATTCCCTGCTGGAACTAGGGATATGGTTAGAGAAAACACACGTGCACTGCCCCCACCGGGCTCTCAGACTGGTTAAGGGAAGCCTGGAGAGGTTTTTAGGGGCAAACTCCAACACTCATTGACACACTTTTATGTGATCTATTAAATCTGTGTATGTGTGAAAGGCAGGGAAGTTATAGCAAAGGCCCTTATTTGGAAAGGACTTTCTTTAGAATAAATGTTTAGTAGTTTTATGTCTTTAGGAAATCATGAGCTATCAGCCCATGACCCAAAGGCTTATTTCCTGCCTCCTTCAATAAGAGTCTGGTGGAAGGACCCTTGATGTGGTCTGAATCTGACCTAGACTCCTGCTCCTTCTTTTGGGCCTTGCTGCCTCCCTTTAATAACATCTTGGGTTTCTCACTCAAGATTTTCCCACTGCCTTGTCGCCCAGCAGAACTGGCTGGTGGTCCCTCTGTGCATGGCTCCATCAGCTGCTCCGAGGATCATGGGGCCTCCATCCGTCACTCACTCAGCTGCTCCCAGTGCCAGGCCCCGCTCCTGAGGAAACAGCAGAAGCTGCCACAGTGCCTCAGCCCTGAGCCCCCACCCCAGTGTGAACGTCATATGAAGCAGCCCTGTCTGCTCTTCTGCGAGGACCACAGGCAGTCCATCTGCCTCATCTGCAGCCTGAGTCAGGAGCACCGAGGCCACCAGGTGCGCCCCATCGAGGAGGCTGCTCTAGAATACCAGGTAGATGCTCCCTGCCTGCAGGTCCTTTTTGGCTAGGCATCTGCACTGCACACACCTGGCCTTGCTTCCATCACTCTCCTAGCAACCCTGGAGGTAGGTGCATCCAACAGTCAGAACCCTTAGCCTTCAAAGGAGAGGACTGAGCAGTGGAGTGCTAACCTAAAGGTTGGGGCTTTGAATCCTCCAGTTGCTCCACAGGAAAGCAATGTGGCTGCCTGCTTCCATAATGATTAACTGGGAAGATCTAAAGGACAGTTCAACTCTCTGCTGAGGAATTGCTGGGCATTGGAATTGACTCAACAATAGTGGGCTTTTAGGTGCTGCCAATGGCAAAAACATATCATCCAGCTCAGCAAAGGGAGAATTCTAAGGGAGAGATCCGGGGAACACTGGCATGGCTGAATCCAAGAGATCTTTGGGACCCTGGTTCAGCATCTCTTGGCTCTGCTTCTCTTTGTGACAGTGACATCCTTCCTCTTTCCTGATCACCCATCCCCCTGGGCTCTCACCTGCAGCACTATCAACTTTAATCCCAGGGCCAAATTTCCCCCTCTGGATTTGGTTCCAATGACAGATGGTCAATGACTCATTGTAGCCTCTCAAAGACTGTTCCCCAACCCACCCCCCAGGAGCAAATTCACTGGCAGCTGGAGCATCTGAAGGAGCTGAGAAAATCCGGGGAGGAGCAGAAATCTCAGGGAAATAAGGAGACAGCCAACTTCCTGGTAAGTGCTGTGCTCAGGCTTGCCCAGGCTCATCCCTGTGGAGGTGAGCTCACCAGGCACAGCGAATGAGTGGAGGTCTCCACCAGTTGTTCAGGTACATGGGGAAGCAGAGACAATGCTGCACTCTAGTGATTGCCAGCTCCTGCTGATCAGGGAGCAGGCTGGCATCCAAGGAGAAGCTTGTTCCTGTGGAAGGAGGACTGACCCACTGGAAAGGGTTATCTCTGAGAACCCTGTTCCACTTTCTCATCCTCCCCCCATAACGCTGATGGGTGCACCAGTGGCTACTGAATTGAGGAAGAAGAGAAGAGACTTAAATATTAAACACTTCTGTACTGTTTTAAGGAGTGTGAGAGTGCAGCAGTTAAGTACTCAGCAGCTAACACAAAGGCTGGAGGCTTGAGTCCTCTAGCAACTCTGTGGGAGAGAGATGTGGTAGTAAGTGTCCACGGACATGGACTATGTTGTGCTCACATTGTGGCAGTTCTGCTATGCCTGCTATCATTATGAGATTGTTGGGTTTGGTATGTTTTCATGATTATATTTTTTTCTTTAAAATTTTATTTGAAAAATTCAAATTATTAAAATAGATATTTCTTTTAGATATTTTTTTTTCAATATGAAGAATTGTAGTAAGTAGAACTACTTGGTCTTCTGTTGAGCTGATGTGTAGCCTAGTGGGCATGAACCTGACTCTTTGTGCTGTAACACTACCTTCAAGTGACCCCAGGTGACCCTGGAGGATGGAGTGGATCAGCCCAAAAGGGCTCCAGGGCTGGAAATCTTTACAGATGCAGATGACTTCATCTTTTTCATGCAGAGTGGCTGATAGGTTCAAAGGGCCAATCTTTCAGTGAGTAACTGTGTGTTTAAACCACATCACCACCAGGACCCTCTTTTGTGCTCTGAGTTTCTTCCATTTTCTTTGGAAGTGGCATGGCCCCTCCCTATAGGCCCCAGAGCCTTGGCCCATCTGCGGCATTCAGTTTATTGGACATTCTCTTCCTGTCTGGCTTTCAAACTCCTGGCAATTCCAGTCCATTCTGTGCCCATCACACTTCAATGGGTAGTGGGCAAAAGCAACAGAGGGCAGAATTGTGGTGGGGACAATTCCTCCAGGACAGAGCTCAGAGCTCACTTTATGGCAACTCCTGAATGATAGGAAAAAATCACAGCTGGCTGGAACTTGTAGATGGAGCAATGGCTAAGGATGCCCCAAGGAGAGAGAGGCAGGAGCTGAACCACTCTGGAAAAATCCCAGGAAGCCAGAGGCTCCAGCTTTCCATGAAGACACACTGACAAAGACTCTAGTGAATGAAGATGCTGCTTTTGACTTGTTAAACTCTCGGGAAGCCTTGGTGGCAAGTGGGCTAAGCATCAGACTAACCGAAAGGTTGATGGTTCATACCCATTAACCACTCTGTGGGGGGGAAAGATGAGGCAGTTTGTTCTCATAATGATTTGCCTAAGACCTCAAAACTTCTATAAGGTAGTTCTCCATCATGTCGACTGTTAGAAGCTGGGACTGACTTGGTGACAGTGGGTTTGGATTTTTTTATTTCTTAAGTTCTTAGCAGATCTAGAGGTGGATGCAAAAGATGTCCTGGGCTCCCTCCTCCTCCCTGAAGAATCTTTTGCATAAGAAAGAGGGGATTGATGACAATTATCATGAGCCATTGTGCTAAGGTGGGGAAGGCCAAGTTTATCTATACACAAATGGCCCCACTGACCCTATTTAGTGTGCAGGTGAGTCAACTTTCTGGAGTGTCTGGAGTGTCCAGGTGGGTGGTCACAGCCTTGAGAGTTGATGTCTTTTCTTTAAATTTAATTTTTAAATATTTTTTATTAATACTTTAATGAAAGTTTACAGAAATCTTGGATTTTCCATTCATTCCTTGTTGCACATTTTCCTCCCTAACCCCCCCAGATTGCTTTTCTCTTTAAAAAGATTCTTTCATTGTTGCACAATTTCCTACTTCCCCCTGCCCCCAGTCCAATTTGCTATGAACCTCTTATTCTGGACTGTTGTCCTGCAAATAATACTTAATCATATATATATATATGTCTTATTGTTGTGTAATGTAAAATTGAAACCAACCCATTGCATAGGAGATTTCCCCAACGTTCTCCCATAGAGCATCTGGTGGACTCGAATCACGTGCCTTCGAAATTGTAGCACAGATTCTTGCCAATAGGACATTAGAACTCTGTATATATTTGATTAATTTTATATCTAGTTGTTGTTGTTATGTGCCATCGAGTCGCTTGTGACTAACAGAGACCCTATGTACAAGAGCTCTAAATGCTGTTCTATCCTGTGCCAACCTAGCCATCTCAAATGCACTTATTGCCACCGCTCCAGTCACAGAATTGATCCATCTCATCGAATGTCTTCCTCTCCTTTGCTGCCCCTTCACTTTGCCAAACATGATGTCCCTCTGAAGGACCAGTCCCTACTTGCAACATGCCCAAAATATGTCAGACGAAGCTTCAGAATCTTTAACTCCAAAGAGCCTTCCAGCTTCACCCTCTCCAGGACAAACCTGTTTGTTCTCCTAGCAGTCCATGGCATATTCAACACTCTTTTCCAGCACCACAGCTCAAAGGCAACCATTTTCTTTCTATCAACCCTATTCACTGTCCAACCCTCTGGTGCACAGCATGTAATGGCGAAGACTATAGCCCGGATCAGGTGCACCTTAGTCTCCAGTCTGAAGTTGTTGCTCTTCAGTACTCTTGAGAGGTCCCTCACAGCCGACTTTCCCAATGCAATTCTTCTCTTTATTTCCTGGCTGCTGTTACCAAGAGTGTTGACTGTGGAGCCAAGTAAACTAAAACTGTTAACAATCTCAATCTCTTCACCATCCATCCTGATGCTGCCAATTGGTCCCGTGGTGAGAATCTTTGTCTTCTTGACATTGAGCCTCAATCCATATTGTAGGCTGCAGTCCTTGACACTCTGCAGCAGGTGCTTCAGGTCCTCTTCATTTTCAGCAAGCAGGGTTGTGTCATCTGCATAACGCAGATTGTTGATAAATTGTCCACCAATCTTGACCCCACATTTCTCCTCATAGAGCCCAGCCTCCCGGATAATCTGTTCTGCATATAGGTTGAAAAGGTATGGAGATAGGATGTATCCCTGGCATATGCCCTTCCCAATTTTGAATCATGCAGTGTTCCCTTGCTCTGTTCTGACGACTGCTTCCTGGTCCAAGTATAGGTTTCGCATTAGAACAATCAAGTGTTCTGGGATTCCCATTCTTCACAGAGTCAGCCATAGTTTGTTATGATCCACACAGTCAAATGCCTTTGCATAGTCGATGAAACACAGATAGACATTCCTCTAGTATTCCATTATGTGAATATACCACAGCTTCTCTATCCATTCGTTTGTTGATGGGCACTTGGGTTGCTTCCATCTCTTAGTAATTGTGAACAACACAGCAATAAACATGGGTGTGCAAATATCTGCTTGGGTGGCAGTTCTTGGTTTCTTTAGGGTATATTCCCAGTAGTGAAATTGCTGGGTCAAATGGTATTTCTATTTCCAACTTCTTGAGACAGTGCCATACTGCCTTCCATAGTGGTTACACCATTTTACACTCTCATCAATTGTGAATAAGAGTTCGTTTCTATTTTGTCTATAACCTTGCCAGCATTTATTGTTTACTGCTCTGCTGAACTTTGCTATTGTTACTGGAGTAAGATGATATCTCATAGCTGTCTTGACTCGTATCTCTCTTAGAGCTAGGAATTTTGAACTTCATGTGTTTATTTGCCATCTGAATATCTTCTTTGGAGAAGTGTCTGTTCATATCCTGTGTCCATTTTTCAATTGTTTTTTTTTTACCTTTATCTCGTTGAGGTGCTGGAACATTGTAAAAATTCTAGATATAAGCCCATCAGACATGTCATTGTCAAATATTTTTCCCCAGTCTGTGGCTTTCCTTTTTACCTTTTTTGCACAGGGATTTGATTCTTAGACAATGCCATTCATCTATTTTATTCTCTTCTGGTTCTAGGTTTTCCAGGATGCTTGGAAGACTGTTCATGTTGTGGACTAGGGCTTCTAGAGTTCTCCCAACCTTTTCTATGATGAAGTTTATGGTCCTTGATTTTACTCATAGGTTCTTGATCCACTTCGATTTTTGTGTATGGTGTGAGATGTGGGTCTTGCTTGAGTTTGTTACAGAGAGTTTTCCAATTTTGCCAACACCATTTGTTAAAGAGGCTGTAATTTCCCCACTTAATTCATGTTGTCTCCTTGTCAAAAATAAGTTGACCATAGTTAGATGGGCTGGTTTCTGTGTTCTCAATTCTATTCCATTGATCTCTGTGTCTGTCACTGTACCAGTACCACACTGTCTTGACTGCCAAACTGTGGAGCAGGATTTGAGATCAGGGAGTGAGATGCCTCTTGCCATGTTTCTATTTTTCAGGAGTATTTTGCTTATTCGAGGTCTCTTTCCCTTCCAGATGAAATTGGAAATTACCTTTTCCATCTTGTTGAAGAATGGAGTTGGGATTGCACTGAACTTGTAGATTGCCTTTTGTAGAATTGTCATTTTCACAATATTGAGTCTTCTATTCAAGAGCATGGTATATTCTTCCATTTCTCCAGGTCTCTTTTTGTTTCTTGTAGTAATGTTTTGTAATTTTCTTTTAAACTTTTTTTAACATTAGTTTTAATGAAATTTTACAGACACTTAGGGTTTCCAGTCATTCATTTTTGCACTTTTCTCCCTTTCTACCCCCTCCCCCAATTCACTCCTTTTTTTTTCTTCCACCTTTTTATTATTATGAATAACACTGGTGTTTTATGTAAGTTTTTGTGTAAATACATATTTTACATCACCTTGGATATATACCTAGAAGGGGAATTATTAAGTCACATTGTAATTGTTAGGCCAAATAGTAATTTTCAATTTAAGTTTCTGAGAAACTTTCCATAGATTTGTAACCTTTCATTTATACTAGCAGTATGAGTGTTTCCAATTCTCTATGTATTTGTCAATCTCTGTTATTTTCCATTTTTTAATAGCCATCTTAATAGGTATGAAGTAGTGTATCACTGCAGTTTATTTTGTATTATTTTAATGACTAATGCTATAAAGCTGTTCTTTGGAGAACTACTGGACCTTATGTTTATTTTAAAAATTGGATTGCCCTTTTTATTGCTGAGTTGTAAGAGGTCTTTATACATTTGATTATCAGACCTTTAATAGATATATTTAATTTGCAAATATTTTTCTTCCATTCTGCACATTTTTTCACTTCACATTTCAATTCACTCTTTAAATAGGTCTTTTGTGTTTCTAGTTCAATTTACTGCCAAGTATTTAATCTTGTGATTAGCTATTGTAATGAGTATTGTTTTTCTTAGCTCCAGTTCTGTATTCTCTTTGTTACTTTAGAGAAAGCCAATTGATTTTTGTCCGTTGATCTTGTATCCTGCCACTTTGCTGAATTGGTCAACTATGTACAGTTTTCTAAGTATACTATCATTTCATCTGCATACAGAGATAATTTTACCTCCTCTTTGCCAGTTTGGATACCTTTTATTTCCTTCTCGTCTTATTGCTATTGCTAAGACTTCCAATACCATATTGAATAGGAGAGATGATAGTGGGCATCCTTGCCTAGTTCCTGTTCTTAAGGGGAATGCCTTTAATCTCTCTCCATTGAGAACAATGTTGGCTCTCTGGTTGCGTATACACTTTTTACTATGTTGAAGAAATTCCCCTCTAAGCCTATTTTGTTGAGTGTTTTAATCAGGAAAGGGTGTTGGATTTTGTCATAGCCTTTTCTGCATCAGTTGATATAGGATCATGTGGTTCTTGTTCTTTGGTTTGTTAATGTAATGAATTACACTGATTGCTTGTCTTATGTTGAACCATCCTTGCGTACCTTTTATGAATTCCACTTGATCATGGTGAATTACTGAGAGCTGGTGTCTGGAAGGCCTGTGACAGTCTTACACTGGTTTTCAGGGAAAGACAGAGGTGACACCTAGTTTGAGACCATTTTCTAAGAGCCAATCATTACCATTCTTATACTGTTCAGAAAAATTCCAGACAACTTTGCCCCTGCTCTGGAATCTAGGCCTTCCAGAGTCTGCAGAAGTCCTTAGAAAAACTAAACAGACAAGTTCAAAGGACAGTATTGGCCAGGGGGAAAACTCAGAAGGCAGGATCAGATAGGAAAGAATGAATGGAAATGGGAAGAGTGTGAGGATTGCATGGCAAGGGTCGCAATTAGTGTCACAGATAAAAATGTGTCTGAGTTGTTGAAGTGAAAATTATTTTGCTCTGTAAACTCATGTAACTATCAATAAACTGAACCCTAACCCACTGCTGTCAAGGTGATTTTGAACCTCTGTAGGGTTCCTGAGGTCATGCATGTTAACAACTGCAGACTACCTCATCGTTCCCCCACAGAACTGCTGGTAGGTTTGAACAGCTGACCTTTCAGTTAGCAGTCCAACACATAACACACTATATCACTAGGGCTCCTTTTCTTTGTTTGTTGTTGTTGTTGTTTTTTTTTTTGTTGTTGTTCTTGTGTACCATTGAGTTCAATCTGACTCGCACAGGAAGAGATTCCCCTTCCTTCTCCAGTGGAACATCTTGTGGATTCAAACTGCGCACCTTCTGGAAGCAGAGCTTCTTGCCACTAGGCCACCAGAACTTAGGGCTCCTTTGAAGAACACACATACATTATAAAAAGGTGGAGGAAGTTTGCTTCTTACCCACCCAAGAGGGGGGCTTGTGGGGATTTCCTGGACATGTGCTGCTTTTGTATCACAGCACAAAACACACCTCCTCCCTGCCACTGTCCCCCCAGAAACAAACTGAAGCTCAGAAGCAGAAGGTCCAGTGTCAGATGAAGCAGCTGTGTCGCTTCCTGGAGAAGCAGGAACAACTGTTTGTGGCCTGGCTGGAAGATGTTGGCCAGATCATTGGTCAGATGGGAGAGGAGTACGGCAGCCGGGTGTCCCGGGACATCGCTCTTCTGGATGAGCTCATTGGAGAGTTAGAGGCCAGGCAGCACCAGCCAGCCTGGGGACTTGTGCAGGTGTGTGTGGTCTGTCTTTTCCAACACCCTACCATTGTCTCATTGGATGACCCAGAGCCCAGCAGTGCTGTCCATCCTGCTAATGAACAGGGTCCTTAAGGCTGGTGTGGGTCCTTGACAACTCAGGACATTTTCAGTACTCATGAACTAGGAGAGGACTGAGTCACCAGCCTCCTGAAAGTCCCTGACATCTATCCAAAGAGAGTAACAGGACTTGGTGGCTGTTTCATTGCATGACCCAATTAGGCTGTCCCCTCAGGTTCTGAGAATGAAGGAGAGATACTCCAGTTTGGCTGACTAGGGATGGGAGCTCCTGGAGGGAGCAGCCTGCAGGCCAGGAGGAAAAGCTAGGAGTCACAGTAGTCCCCAGGAACTGGCAACTCAAACCTTCCTTCTTTTCTCTCCTAGGACATCGGAGCCACCCTACACAGGTACAGAGTGTGCACTGGGGGTGTGCATTGGGGTTCCTATGCTTAGGAAGATGGTCCCAGAAGAGAGAGATTCTTGCAATTTAAGACCATTGGGGAATAGGGAAAAGGATGGGGAGTCAGGCTATCATGATGTATGATAACTGCTTCCCAGGCAATTCACCTCATGAAAGCTGTGTGGCTTTCCTGCCTGGGGTGTCTGCTCCTTTGGAGCAGACTGGTGGAAGGAAGTTTGAGGGAGAATGGGAGAAGGCCTAGAAAAGTGATTCTTTGACATTCCTGGAGTTATGAGAACTTTGTGAAATCCCATTTCTTGGTGGTGTCAAATAAGTGAGGATGAACGAGTGGGTTTCAGGTGGCAGGGAATTTGATACTCTGTAGGTAACTCCCAACCTGCGACGAGACAGGAGTATCAATGAGTAGACCTCAGAGTCCTTGAGGCTCCAGAACGCCAAGCTGCAAAGCACTCAGCTGCTCCCACACTCCAGGTTTTCCTGGCTAATAGTCTCTTATCTCCAGGGCCAAGATGGTGACTATCCCAGAGCGGTGGGCCACCCCTTCCGAGGTGAAAGAGAAGCTCCACCTCTCCTACCACAAATCTGACTTTATGGAGAAGAGCATGAAGCGCTTCTCCGGTATGTGGGTTCTTGGGGCAGATGTGGCATCGTGCATGCCCTTCCTGGGGCCCAAGCAGCTCAAAGTCCCCTTGCCTCCTTTCTCCCTCTCCCCATTGCCCCTTGATGCTGATAATCCCTGGGACCTAACTCAGGCTTCTCTGTTGCCTTTTCTCCTTTTAGAAAGTCTGAGTTCGGAAATGGAAATGCTCATTGGTGAGTGAGTTTGTGCATGGCAGGGATACTGACTGAGGTTAGTTTGACAACCCCTTATGCTGCTGAATTCTGAACTTGATTTAGAAGACAGAAAAACATGTGGAACAGAGGCAGAGGAAAAGCCATCAAAGCCCCTTGCAGGCTTTGTGGATAGACCTTGTGCCTGATTTGTCTGCCTGGGTTAACTCTTTAGATGAGTAGAATTCCCAGTGGAGGCAGGCTCTGGTGCTTGAGAGTCACAGGTTACATACTCCATGGGCAGTGGGGCCTGAGCAGGGAGGTCCCTGTCTTTTCTTATTGTGGAGACCCGGATAGAACCATTGTTGTTATATCTCATAAGGACAATTCCAACCCATAGCACCCCATATGGGAGTAGACTTTACCCCTAGGGTTTTGTTGTCTGTAGTCTATATGGCAGCAGATCACCTTGTCTTCTCTTGTAAAGTTTCTGGGTGAGTTGGGTTAGAACTGTCAACCTTTGGTTCAGCAGTGAAGCACTTAACTGTTATGCCACCAGGGCTTCTTTGGGTAGACTTAACCCCTCTGAACAAGAAAGCTTAGAATATTTTTGTCTCTCTTCTTCTGCAGCTTCAAAACTAAAAGCTGCTCAGGCACATGCAGGTAAGTCTTCAGGTCAAGGCATGTCCTTGGACTGCTACGTTCCTATGTTCTCCCCCGTTGCTTCCAGAAAAGTGGTCATGTCCATGTTTTCTGAAGGTGGGATGATCCTTGAGGATGCTGTCCATGGAACCTCCACCTGAGTAATGTCACTCTCTCTGCAGTTGATGTGATTCTGGATGCAGAAACTGCCCATCCCAACCTCATCTTCTCTGATAATCTGAAGAGTGTGAGACTTGGCAACAAGCATCACTGCCTGCCTGAACACCTGGAAAGATTTGACAGCTGCTTTCTGGCCCTGGGCATTCCCACCTTCCTCTCCGGTCGTCAGTACTGGGAGGTGGAGGTAGGAGATAAGACAAGCTGGATCCTGGGAGTGTGCAAAGCATCCATGAATCGCAAGGGGAGCGTAACTCTGTCAACTGAGAATGGCTACTGGGTGGTGATGATGACAATGCAAAAAGAGTACCAGGTCTCCACCTTCCCCCCAACTCATCTCTGGATAAAAGAACCACCACGACGGGTGGGCATCTTCCTTGACTGTGAGACAGGAGAGATTGCCTTTTACAACATGACAGCCAAATCTCATATTTACACATTTACCTGTTGCTCACCCTCAGGGCCTCTTCAACCTATCTTTGGCCCTGGTACCAAAGATGGTGGGAAGAACATGGACCCTCTGACCATCTGTCCAGTGTGTGTTCAGAAATCCTACTGAATATCCAACACATCGCATTTCTTTCCCAGCATCTCACCTTATATTCTGCATTCATACACTCAGCAGTCATTATTGCACATCTACTAGGTGCTAAAACCTCTTTAGAAGCAGGATAGTGAAACCCTGTCTCATCTACTTTGGATACATGATTAGGAGGTGGGGCAGTCACTTGAGAAGGGCAATCATGCTTGATAAAGAAGAGGGTCAGTAAGAAAGAAGACTGACCATGGCTGCAACAATGAGCAGAAGCACAGCAGTGGTAGTGAGGAAGGCACAGGACTGGGCAAGTTTTTGTTCTTGTACATGGACCTTTGACAGGAGTTGGAGCCAATTTGATAGTATCTAACACCAACAACAAAACATTGAGTGCCAAGTGTTTGAGGTACTATAACAAATAATAGAACAGTCCTTGTGTCAGAGTTTATAGGACAGTAGCAGAAGTAAGCTAGATACACAAATATTGGGAAATCACATCCACAAAAGGCACACGGTGAATTTCAGAGGAAGTTGCTGTTGCTTAATAAACACTTGCATGAGTTAGCATCTTCTGCTGCTCCTAATGAAGAAGATTCTGCCCTTAATTTTGCTCCCTATTTGTCTCCTTATTTTTCCCTTCCTTGTCCAGAGGACATAGGAAGTGTGGAAAACCCCAAGCAGACTGGGTTGTTTATAAAAGTATTTTTGTACTTAGATTAATAAACTATGATTCTTATAAGCATTGGCTGGACCTCATAAATAAAAAAATTAGTGGATTTCGTCATAATTATGTTTATTACTATTTAGTTGATCACTGAGGGATTCCATTTCCCTACTGAACACTCCTGAAAGATATGGCACTGCAATAGTGGGAAAACACACTCTGATTCCAAGTGCTAGATTATTCTATTATGGTTATTGGACAACCTGAGGGCCTGTGGAATGATGGGTGTTCATAACTGTCTCAAATCTCATGTCCCATTTAGAGCAAGCATTTGTGAGACCACTGTAGAAACAGTTTTGTGCTTCCTCAAAACGTTGGAAATAGAAGTTATTTGAGCCAACAATCCCACTAATAAGTATATGTCCTAAGAGATAAAAGTGATGACACAGACATATGCACATTCATGTTCTTTGTGGCATTATTTATAATAGTAGAGAGATGGAAACAACAAAAGTGTCCATCAACAGATAAATGAGTAAACAAATTATGGTACATAAACACGGTGGAATACTTTGCAATAATAATAATAATGAATAATTCATGAACTTCCACATAACATGAATGAATCTAGAGGATTTCATGGTGGGCGAGTGAAATAGGTCAGTTATAAAAAGACTAATGTAAGTCTACTATTACAAAAATTAAAGGTTTCCAAATAGAAAATTTTTGAAAGCTTGTCAGTGATGGGGAGGGAGGGAGAGTGAAAAAAATAAATAACAATATAATGTTGTTGTTGTTGTTAGGTACTATCAAGTGTGACTCACAGCAACCCTATGAATCACAGGTCTGAACCCTGTCCTATCCTTTGCCGTTGTCTTCATCTTAGACATACTTGAGCCCATTGCTGTAGACACTATGTCAACCCATCTCATTGAAGGTCTTCCTCTTTTTTGCTGACATTTCCAATCCTGATGTTCCTCTCCAAGGAATAGTCTCTCCTAGAAACATGCCCAAAATATGTGAGACAAAGCTTTGGTCATCTTTGCCTCCAAGGAGCATTGTGACTGCACTTTCTACAAGCCACTTATTTGTTCTATTTGCAGAATATGGGAAATTTCTTCTTCTCCAATGCCACAGCTCAAAGGCATCAATTCTTCTGCCATCCTTATTTATTGTCCAACTCTCAGCAGCATAAGTGACTGGAAGACCATGGTCTGAATCCGATGCACTTTAGCCTTCAAACTGACATCATTGCTCTTCAGTAATCTAGAGAGTCCCTGACAAGTAGAATTTCCAAATGCAATACATCTTCCGATGTCCTGATTGCTGGTACACTGGAACTGAGTGTTGATTGTGGATTCAAGTAAGATGAAACCATTGATAGTTTCAACCTTTTTTCCATCTATTGTTGCTTATCGGTCCAGTGGTGAGGATTTTTGCCTTCTTGATGTTGATATGAAATCCATATTGAAGGCTGCCATTTTAGCTCTTCTGCAGTAAGCTTTTATCGTCTTCCTCACTTTCAGCATGCAAGGTTGTGTCTGTCATTTGCATAATGCAGGCTGATGAGACTTTCTATAATCCTGATATCACATTCTTCTTCATAGAGTCCAGCTTTTCAAATGATTTGCTCAATGTGGAGATTGAATAGGTATGGAGAAAGGACAACTTTCCAGATTTTAAACAGTATTATGCCTGTCACCCCCAACTCTGTTTAGACAACAGTTTCTTGGTCTAGTTTTGGTTTTGTATGAACACATTTAAGTGTTCTGGGATTCCCATTCTTCTCAATGTTAGCCATAACTTGTTATGATCCACATAGTCTAATGTCTTTGCATATTCAATAAAATTCAACTAGACATTTTTCTGGTATTCTCTGCTTTCAGCCAGGATCCATTTGACATCCAAATAGACACATATTAATCATGAGTGACAGGAAAGTCAGTTTATAATAATAGGATGCTCAGCATAACACTAAAGAAAGAAAAGACAGGAAGAAGTTCACAAGAAATAGCTAAAAAACATAAATGCTATTACATACACAATTATGAAATATCAGCAATAGTAAGGAGTAGGAATAGAAACAGTAGGAATTGTAACAACACAAAAGAGAGAATAAAGTGACAGGTAAACTCCAAACTCTTTCTATCATCATCTCTTCATCTTCATTCCTAGAGCCTAGAGTAGATTCAGATTCTCTATGGTTGTGAACAGAACATGCAAACATGTTTGCATTCACATGGAATGTTGCTCTACCTGTGTAATCTACATGCCAACAAAGTTCACATGCTCTATTTTTTAACTTCTCCCTATCGTCAGACATCCCTTACACCCAATTCTTTAATGCTATAATTTTACCATAATTATCTATAGTTTTCTCCTTTACTTGTTATTCTAGAATGTTTACTGAATGTGAACTAGTAGGTAACACTGCAGTTTGCTATACTGTACTTCGGAACAATTAAAAAAATGGGACTGACATCAGGGCTGAGGGAAGACAGAAAGGAGGGGAGGAATGATGCATATTGTATTGAAACAGATGAGGGAGAGAACTGTTTAAAAGGGACATATGAATGGGTATTCTTGGCATTACAGAAGTTCAGAGTGAAGGCTGCATAGTGGAGTGAACTTGGGGGGGAGGGGAGGGATTGCATAACAATGAAAGAGTTTTTCTTTTTCTTTTCAAGGAGAAGAGTGAATTGGGGGGGAGGGTGTGGGCAGGGAGAAAAGTGCAACAATAAATCACCGGAAACCCCAAGTCTCTGTAAACTTTCATTAAAATTAATGAAATAAAAAAAAAATATAGTGGGAAAGCATCAGACCCAAAGAAATGTTTGTTATTTCAAATTGTTTTGCTGATTTAACAGGAACTAATGGGCTTCACCTCTATTTTAATTTACCTGTTAGTGAGATCACACTTTCTGCATGCATTTTGCCATTCTTCTCCACTCTCCTTTACACTGGAAAAGGTGTTTTTATTTTCTTTCTCCTTTGAATGCTTGCTGTGTGGAACCAAGACAACAAATTCAGTTTTCTGTAATTCATTTTCATAAATATTTTAGATAGTAGCATTTACATCTGCCAGATGAAATTTTCCTGTTTTTTAAAACTAAGGTATGATTCACATACCATGTTATTCACTAATACACTATTTTAGTGTATAGAATCCAATGGCTATTGGTATACTTACAAGACTTGTAATCATCACCAATATATTTTCATCAGCACACATCCTTCATTTCCCTCAAATTCCTCTACTCTCTGGAAACCACTAGGTTCTTTACATTTCTTTAACTGAAAGGTCAGTTGTGGCCAATCTGTATCCATAAAGATTCATAGCCTCAGAACTCCTATGGGGGTGTTTCTATTGTGTTCTATATGAGTTAGAATAACTCAGTGCAGTGGGTTTGGTTTTGTTATTTCCCCCATGAGTCACCTTTTTAATAGTCTAGTGTATATCCCTTAATACAAACATACATATCTGCAGAGTGTTTTCTGTTTGTGTCAAAACCATAATGATATTCTATATATGTAATCTTGAACTTGTTTTTCTACATACAGTTCTGTTCCAGTCTTAATAAATCTGTAAAATATTCTAGAATATGGATCTTGTGTATTAATCCAAATTAACCATTTCTTTCCTGATAGCAAGGAGCCCTGGTGGTGTAGTGTGTTACATGCTGGGCTGGTAACTAAAGGGTTGGTGATTCAAATCTACCACCCATTCTGGGGAAGAAAGATAAGGCCATTAGCTACTGTTAAAATTTACAGCCCTGGAAGCCTGAGTCACCATGATTTGGAATTAACTCAAAAGCAAGAGATTTGGCTTTTTTTGTTCTTTCCTGAGCTTAGGTGGCACAGTGGCTTGAGTGTTAATGAAAAAATCAATTGTACATACCCACCAACCACCACATAGGGAGTTGCCCTGACAACCCAAAGGCATGAATTTTGAACCTACTAGTTGCTCTGTGGGCAAAATATTGTTAATCTCCTTGTATGATTTACTGTCCATGGAAACCAACTGGAGGGCCAGCTATGAGTCCTGACTTGATGGCCCATAACCACCAATACTACATTAGAGAAAATGAGGTAATTTGTTCTGTAAGATCTATAACCTTGAAAATATTATTTT